CCTTTTATACTGGGGGTTATCCCGCTTCAGGTCCGGACCTGAAGCGAGATAAACCCCAGTATAAAACTAAAAGCGGCATGAGTGTCACTGTGTCAGTGTGTGAAACACGCCCAATGCCAATGGCAATGCATTATCATAAAAACGATATCCAGACACGACCCTGGTTTCTTGATACATTCAACGTCCAGAATTGACAACTGCCCTGAGGTCTCAACAATCCTAATAATAACGAAGTTTAATTATAGAATACTTCATTTACCCACGGAAACGGCCGGACAAGGCTTCTGGTAAAACTTCGACGGCCACCGCCATTTTTAACGCTGTTCTTTTTTGGCAACTGCATTGTGGGTAATCAGTCCTTTTAAACATGGCAGCGACCATGGATATTTCTATTGAGCGTGTTTTGTCAATAGAAACAACAAATGAGAGTGAAGACTTCAAGACAGTGGAATCGAATGCCACACGTAAAAGAAAGCACAAGGACACAGACAGCAAAATGGAAACAGAAGTAGAAACAAAGAGGCCACATTTTCCTGCAATATCAGGAAGCAAATTGCTCGTAAGTACGCGTACTGGGCCTAGGGTAGCCACAAGTTCCCATCTCGCTTAACACTACGTGGCGAGAGGGGACGCTTAACACTACGCTTAACACTACGTCCTCCGCCGTGTAACTAGTCGGAGAGCCTGGTCGGTTTAGGCGTAGGGATACAGATTACAGTAACAGTGGTCAGACTCAGTGCCAGCGGTCTGAGTAGATTATACTTATATAAGTTATAGTCTATAGATACAATAATGTAACCCAACAAGAGTAGGGTTACAAGGCGAGCCTATTCTTTTCTTTGGAGGAGCCCCTGAGTGATTCACTCAGGGCGGTTTTATGGTGCGTTTTTCGAGACTACTGACTAGAACTTCCAAACTGGGTTTATTCTAAACACAGCCCTTTCGGTTCAAGGATAGAGATGATGTCCAGTACGGTGATTGGATAGGATGATGTTAGTTGATAAGATAGGACTGGACATCTTCTCTATCCCTGAGCTAACCTTTCTCCGCTATCCTGGGACTTACTAATACACTATGTATCACAATACTCTGTATTAAACTAATATAACCTGTTAAAAAATTTCGAAGCGACGAGCGGCGATACTTCGAGCGCCATTTCTGTTGACCTGTGACGTACAGATTCCCAATGCGCATAGCGTTCGGCTAACTTCGTCATGACGCCATGACTGACAGCAGGCATCCCATGATACATACGATCTTGGAGCCGAAGTTAGCCGAATGCTATGCGCATTGGGAATGCGTACGCAGCGCTCGAAAAGGCCGGTCGCCCGGTCGCCACAGGCGACTAAAAAGGCTGTCGGGCGAGTGAAACTTGCCTAAACACTCATTCCCAGTCGCCCAAGCATGAACTGCTGGGCGATTACCTTTTTGGCAACTGTATGCAATATATTATATACATCGCCTCAAATTTCAGTTGGCCGAGTATCAGTAACCGAAATTAATAGGTAATAATTTTATATCATGAATTATCCATTACTAATTTAGTAACTAATTACTGTTCCTCAGTCAGGCTCTGCTTAGTCAGTGCTCCAATTTAGTGTCAATACTAGTCTGGCATTCTTACTAAATATTATAATTATTGGTATTATTATAATTATTGGCATTATTGGTATTAGTAATAGTAATATAATTTGCGCAAAATTTCGAAGGGCACTTTGAAATCCAGAGAGACATGATACAAGATTGCGTGGCACAGCTTTGCTGTTGATCCTAAGCGCTGCGCGCGGATGAGACGCGCAGTTCCGCGTGATATGCGCACGCGACCGCTAGGACGATGTCTGAAGTATTGAAGCGCTGTCCGCCAGTGGGAGACCAAGTGCGCCAAATCTCCAGGCCGGCGCACGGTCTCCACAGCGGTCAGCAGGCATGGTCTGTAGTGTTTTAGAAGATGACAATGATTATTAGTATTGAGATATTGTAGGAATTGGAGATTATAAAACCGTAACAAAAAATTGCTCAGTCATTTCTCCAGATTAAGTCTGAATCCAAAAAAGATTAGAAATGTTAATATGGAACAAAACAAATACACATGGTTATAAAAAATTCCACAACAAAGAAAGGATAGAAAATTTAATAGGCACCAAGTAATAAAAAAATGCACTCAAATATTCATACCTAGCGGGATTAATTAAGATATAGGAGGTCTATAACGATATGATGATTCGAACTTAAAATGTAGGTTCACGACGAGCGAAATATTATCCAATGGCAGCAAGCAGACCAAATTATGGAAATCATTACTATAGGCAAGCAAGAAGTGAAATTATCACGAATGCAGCAGTTTGACCTTCCTTCCTAAAGTAACAAGCTGAAAGAGGCACATAAACTTAACTATAGGAAAAAGTAAAAAATGTGGAGGATTGTCCAAAATGAGTGCCGTGCGCGCAAAATAATAATCACGCAGAAACCTACCGGAAAGGCATTGAAAGACGATCGAAAACTCCAAGGAAAAGATTATCGGAGAAATCAGTGAAAAAAACATATAGTTCTATACGTAAATGTGGTAAATACATATAAAAACAGCCATTATTTTATGCAAATCGCCATATTTACTTATAAATAACATCCAAGACGATGTGGCTGTGGCTAGTGTAAACATTACCCCCGATTAGCGCTCCGAAAATTGTTGTGTTGCTCGAAATGGCGACAGGTGCCGCGGCACATGTTCATTATTTGAGAAAAGTAAATAGAGCCGGCGAAAAAAGACAGTAGGCACAAGCAACGGCAGTCGGTAACAGGGTAGGTAACGTCGTGTGACAGCCCCATTCATGTCCATCCAACGAAGATAGGTGGGAGCTTATTTCTGTGGTACGCGAGATGCCAAAATACAAAAGAAAGACCTATCGCAGTTGCGCTAAACAGCGTGTTTATTTCGTTTTGTGCAAACTGCTATCGTTAGGAGAGACCGTTTCTGGGCTAGGCTCGACAGAATGCCCTAGTTGTGAGATCGCGATTGCCGCTGCCGTAAAGGGTATTATAAGCTAAAAGTTAGGAGATAAGGGGGCGGTAGTTACGTAGACTTGGTGATTGGAAGACACCAAAGTGTCAATCCTCGCCGGATGCGCCTCGAGGCGAGTCATGCGCCCGCCATCACGTCTAGACCGTATTTCCCAATACGGCAAATACGGTCTGAATCCGCCCCTGGTCTGGAAGGTGGTTCTGGCTAAAACAAAAAATTTAAAAAGTTAAAAAGTTGGTAAAAATTCGATTCATCAATAGATGGCGGTGCATACAGATTAATATCACGTACGTGTGAATCCATGGTGTATCGCAGTGGCCTATAATCGCTAGAACATCCGTCTCCTACACCGGGATTCCGGGTTCGAGTCCCAGCTGGGGAACTTATTTTCTCCTTTTCCCTTTACCTACCTCTTTAGTATGTTTTATTTTTTATTTTTACTTTATTAATTTATTTAATTTATTATTTTTTTAATTTATTAATTATTTTAATTTTTAATGTTTTTTATCTTTTGATTTCTTATTATTTTTTACTGTTTGGGATGGGATGGGATGGGATGGGATGGGATGGGATGGCATGCGATGGCATGGGATGGGATGGCATGGCATGGGATGCGATGGGATGGCATGGCATGGCATGGGATGTCATGGCATGGCATGGGATGCAATGAGATGGGATGGGATGAGATGCGGTGCGATGGGATGGGATGGAATGGGATGGATGCAGGCATGCATGGATAGATAGATAGATAGTTAGATTTTTTGGAGTATTTTCTATTCAACCAAGCTGATTTCCTCGGGCAACGCCGGGTATCCCGCTAGTGTACCAATATTCGACCAGTACTAAGGCAGGCAGTAGGCAGTACTAAGTATGGTTCGTGGATATAAGCACTGACCACAATTCATTTTCCCAAATGTGCGACATGTGCAAATGTGCAAATGTGGACAGCTCTTATATCTTTGGGCTCTACTTGTACTAAGTATACTAGGCAGTGATTTTTATGCTAGGTATAATTTTGTGCCCTAGAAACTTGGGTTATTGACTATTGTGTTACGTGACATCTTGCACACCTGGATCATGCACACTCTAGACTCTACAGTAACTATTATATATTGGGTCAAAAATGCAAACTTACTTTGTATTTTTACACAATAATTTAATGCCTAGATGCACAAATCGAAGAGAAATTTCGACCATGGGAATTGTTGCTTGCGGCTAACACTAACAGGTTAGATCACGATCACATACCCTGTAATCACATCTAGTCGCATGATGTTGGAAAACTGTGCACATAGGTGTGTTAGTTATTGGATAAAAATGCTAAGTTAATCCACTTTTTACCTCACTATTTCACGGTAACATTAAATCCCCACCACTTCTACAGGAAATTAAAAGAATACATGACCCTAGGCCTAGGTTCCTTGCATATTTTCAATTAAAATAGGTTTAAATTACACTACATAAAAAAACGTCAAAATATTGTTCAATATTCACGAGAAATCATCGACCTTGGAGTTGTCACCACAGCCTTTTGTACGATCTGTTGTTATATACACCTTGTATATTTTTTATATTCATCACATTCATGTCTTCCAATGACTTTTTGGCACAGTCATCCTATGATCAAAATGTTTGCTAGTTTACAAGCTATTCATGCAGGTACCGGGTACGCCATTTGAAGCATAATAAAATACACATACAATGATAAGGTGGAAAGGAAATGAACCTGCACCTCGATTTATCATTTCAAATTATAACTTGTCAATGTATCCTGGTTTAATCTATATATGTTAGCAAATGCAACTGCTGTTACTCTATATATAAACAATTTCAATGGTAACTGCCTGCAGCATCAAACAAATACTTCTCACATTCTAATTATGTCACACTTTTTAGTGTTTGAATATTATGTGCAAAATACTAGGAAACTATTACTTTTTAGTTAGTTACGTTATTTTACCATGCAGGAAATGACAGATTTAGATCTGCATTGGTCGGAACTAGAGTCAAGTGAGTAACAATCGTAAAAAGAACTAATATCTAAACAAGTAATGGGTTATACAGCAGTTTCTTACTTTGACAGGGAGGAAAGACTGAAGTAAGAAAAGTGGCAATCCCATCTCACAGATATACACCGCTGAAGGAAAATTGGATGAAGATCTACTCACCAATTGTGGAGCACCTCAATCTACAGATCAGATGCAACCTCAAAACCAGGAATGTGGAGATACGAGTGAGTCCAAGACCCTGATCACTATCTGGCTTTTTGTGATAATTGGTTAACTTTTGTTTGCACTAACCTACCCAACCTTGCGAAATAATGAAGACTGAAAATGATTTGCTATATTTTTAGCTCACCTTGACATCGTCAAGATGAGCTATTGCCATGGGGTGTCGTACGTCCGTCCGTCCGTCTGTCCGTCAACATTTGGCTACGGTCAACGATAACTCAGTAACCGTTTGACCCACATGTTTCAAATTGCATAGTTGTTACTCCTAGTCCTATGGGAGAGGTTTGAACGTCCTATTTTGGAGCACGCCAGTCGACCTACTTTCGAGCCACGTCCACTTTTTTGCAAAAATGGAAATGGCCATAAGTCAGTTCAGGTTCAATGGATTTTGCTCATTTCTGGTATGTGAATGAATTAGGACCGGCCCCAAAACATATCATGTACAGGTTTTGATATTTTCTTTAAATTATGCAAATTAGGTAAATTTAGGCAATTCCCCTATGCATTTCAGTGTGCCTACGGGCAACGATAACTCAAGAACCGTTTGACCCACATGTTTCAAATTACATACAGTTGTTACTCCTATGGGAGAGGTTTGAACGTCCTATTTTGGAGCACGCCAGTCGACCTACTTTCGAGCGACGTCCACTTTTCGGCAAAAATGGAAATGGCCATAAGTCAGTTCAGGTTCAAGGGATTTTGCTCAATTCTGGTATGTGAATGAATAAGGACTGGCCCCAAAACATATCTCAAGGGTTTTTATATTATTTTTAAATTATGCAAATTAGGTAGATTTTGGAAATTTCATTATGCATTTCAGTGTCTGCTTACGGTCAACGCCATCAGATTGTATGCCAACAGATCTGAAACATTTATTTTCGCATACAAAATTACTCATATATCATCATTATCAAGAGTATATAATGGGAGTTCTCCCATATATACTTTTGCTTTATATATCCCCCCTCCCTCTTCTATCACAAAGGTGAGCTACAGTGTCATATACACTTTCATTATACTGCATAATTACAGGAGTCTATCAATATTGATAGACTCCTGATAATTACATGTAAATGCACATACTGTGTATAGCAAATAGCCTTGTAAATTGTGACGATCTGACCTACACGCGAAATTGGTTAGGGTTAGGTACAGGTAGATCAGTTACTGCAAACAAGAAATTCATGAATTGCGTGATTTCCTCTTTTTCCCCAAATGTTGTCGTGATATTCTGCAAGTGCAGTCTAACCTGTGTTAGCAGTCACTATATAGTATGGAGAACTGTATATGAAAGACCCATTTTTTCCATATTTTCCATTATTATATTTCACAGTTTTGGTTATATTATGGTGGTTTATATTTAATGTCTTTTTGATTATCCTTATATACAGGTTTTGCTGTACATAGCACAATTCAAAGTTTAAGAATATGAAACTTGTGATCTTCAAAATGCAAAATTTAGCTAAATCCTTCTCATATCATAAAGAAACACTCAATGGTGATTACTATGGATATTTGGCACAGAACGTACATGATGGTCAGCGTTCAAAAATAAAGATTTCGAAACTCATTCTTCGTTTATGACAATTGCGAATGTGTGATTATAGAAATTTGTAGGTATATACTATTATTTATGCACTTACTATCATAATATATTCTAAAATTCTAGAGTATATTATTATTGTATTTTGTTTATGTTTATTTTTTATTTTTATATTATTATGTATTAAATTGTTATATTATTTATTATTGTATTATATTATTATTCTAATGTATATTATATAAATTATAGAGTATATAGGATTTAACCGTTTATTTTCCAGTGTTGTGGCCCATTATATCTCAGGGCTGCATTGTACACATTCGATATTTAACAGTGTGTTTTCATTTTTTATTGACATTAAGACATGTAAAGACACAACAGACATAGGAGCTCTCCAGAAGGCTGCAGATTTTGTTAAGGCTTTCACTCTTGGATTTGAAGTTGAGGTAAAGTAATTTACATGAATACAGGGCTTTAAGCTAATATATAACACTCGTCCACCTGCTCGAGGCTTGTAAAATCCGTAACGGCTAGCAGCATGGCTTGACTGATGAGCCCTGGTGGTGAGTGCAGGTAATACTCAAATCAGTAGTTACTTTTTGTGCAACTGATCTCACATGGTTTAAGTATAAACTTTGTGTGTGCAAACGTCACAACATTGTAAAATATAACATCATCACAAAGTCACGAAGACGTGATGATAGGCACCAGGGTCATAAAACCGTATAACATTTTGGAGGATGCTTTATCCCTTTTTATCTATATTTATTGAATGACTTAGATTTGACTCTGCACATTGGTTGTTCGTTGTGAGTTATCTAACAGAGTTGATCAGGAGTCTTCATTTATTTATTGGTAATTTAGTGTATGTAACATCTGTCATTAATTTCTTTTCCAGGACGCATTAGCTTTGGTGAGGTTAGATGACCTGTTTTTGGAATCCTTTGATGTTACTGATGGTAATACGGGTTTTTGTAATAGGTTCAAATACAGCTTTTATAGTTAATCGTTTTATAATTGGTATTCAAAAACTGACAACATACCAAATACGCATGGTCTGTTCATCAGCAAACCTTAGCATGTGGGTGCATATGACTTTGTACTTTTCTTAGCAAGGGCATCAAAAATAATTTCAGACTGGTCTCATATTTTCCCTACTTTACCACTACCTACCACTATTGGTTGAGTAACAGCAACTGTCTAGAGTAAGGCTAACATGTCTTAGAACCTTCGTACTTTAACTACATTCACCGAAAAACATACACGATTCGAATTTTTATTACTCGTTTTGATTTCTGTCGCTATTTGTCTCTATAATTAAATATGCCACGGTGTTACAACGTGCTCAGTTCCAACTTTCTATGCTATAACGTCATAATTTCTCAGTGTTTTTCAAGTTGGTGTAGTAAGTAACATATCCACTATTAGATGGGACTATATTCCACTATATCCTTTTTCAGATTTTATGTTTATAAGCAATGATTTTGAAATAATTATTGAAACCTTTGGAGGTCCGATTTTGTTATCCGATTTTGCATGCATATTTACATGCTTAGAATTACTCAGTGCTAGCCAATTCTATTCAAGGATGAAAATGTTATACACAATGGAGAAATCTGCTCTATGCATTTCTGGTGTTTGTTGTTGTAGCTGGAAATATAATGTGGTGAAACTATTGTTGTAGAGATGGTTTGAGATACATGTGTTTCAACCGGTTTAAATAATATCAACTTCATGATGAGGTTATACTTTTGTGGGACGTAAAATATTTAGTGAGCTATTGGTGGTCAAAATGTATTTTAGATGTGCGTGTTGGGACTTTCAAGTTTCTAAATGTTGTGTTGGTAGAGAATAGGTGTGTAATTTATGGATGTGGGAATAATCGCCTTTATTCCACATTAATGTGATCATGTGCATAATTTCTAGTGAAACCTCTGAAAGGTGATCATCTATCTAGAGCCATTGGACGGGTGGCCGGAAAAGGCGGAAAAACGCGATTCACCATAGAAAATGTAACAAAGACAAGGATTGTTGTTGCCAATTCGTGAGTATATATACATATAGTTTCCTAATGAGCCAATTTCTCATTTCGACTGCATGCCATAACCCCTTTTTTTAGCACAGACATACATTTAGATTCCAAACACTTTCTTTCCATGCTGTAATACCTTAATTGGTAGCTATTTGCCTATGTTAATTGCTACAGCTGTTGCCAAAGTGTGTGTATTTATTACTTTACATTGAAATTTCAACAATCCAGTTGTACAGCGTGTTATTGTCTGATGTGTGAACAGTTTGTAAAAAATGAAATGGTGGCCTAATATATGCTGTAAAGATTAAACAGCAATTATTAACCTACTTTATCTGAATATTTGATAGCCTAGAACTCCCACATTTCATCGCACATAAATTCGAACAGTCTATTATTTTGTAGTGTGCAGATTTTTAGGCATTTTGCCACAAGGCTACACTACTAAAATCTTTTATATTCCTGCAGAGGGAATAAATCAGTGTAGATGGTTAAAGGGACCTTCTGGTGTAAAGTACATGGTAGTATATTATATAATATGTATTATGTAATAAGTTTAATTATTTTGGTTGAATTAGTCTTGTTGCATCAGAACAAAAAAACGAATGTTTAATAACCCTAGTGTTTGATTTTTTTTGCAGGCGGATTCACATTCTTGGTTCTTTCCAGAATATAAAAATAGCACGCACAGCAATATGCAACTTGATATTAGGTCAGTATGAGCTTTATTTTTAGATATATAGAGATATTATCAGGAGTAGATAATAGGGAAGGAGTGTGACATCAATAAACAAGGGAAATTCGTCATTTACTAGCCTTATAATACCTACGATTTACTACGCGTAACTCATCCAACTTTATCTCAAATCGGACACAGTACATCCGCCTACCATCGTGCGAAATCCTTTCCTCGTATACACCCGCAATCCGGAGATACAGACTAAAACGTACGACACGATTTTCAATTCTATTGCCAGCAAACTGAATTCATACCCGCCTAACTTGAAACAAAAGGCAGCTACTAACCACACTGTCCACGGCTTGCGCTCACGGCGAGGCGCTGTGGTTCGCAGGGAGATTTGAATCCGATCTGCTGCTGATAGCGGATTGGCGTGCGTGCGTGGTATGGGGGCATGCCAGCTATATTTCCGGCATGCCAGTATGACATACAGGCATACATTGTAGCTGTGTACCGGGTCAAAGGTTATCTCGCCGAGTGTTGCGTTGATGCCTAATCACCCTGCGAGCCACAGCGCCTCGCCGTGAGCGCAAGCCGTGGACAGTGTGGTTAGTAGCTGCCTTTTGTTTGAATATGAGGCGGGCAGTGCATTTGGATTGATGGCCAAAGAATTGAAAATCGTGTCGTACGTTTTAGTCTGTATCTCCGGATTGCGGGTGTATACGAGGAAAGGATTTCGCACGATGGTAGGCGGATGTACTGTGTCCGATTTGAGCTCAAGTTGGATGAGTTACGCGTAGTAAATTGTAGGTATTATAAGGCTAGTAAATGACGAATTTCCCTTGTTTATTGATGTCACACTCCTTCCCTATTATCTACTCCTGATATTATATACTATGATACTTTAGTCTTTGTTTATCCCACTCAGTGTGAATCTAGTGATAAGTTTTGCTGCAGAAATAATAATTGTTTTTATGGGGTATTTCCACAGGCCACGCTGGGGTATTACTGTAATATATTGTACATGCATATCGTAATGCCTTTCTGAAATCCTAATAACTCTGAATCTCGAATCCACATTTGTCCTAAAGGTTTCAGATTGTGGATTGTATTGTGAAAATCATTGGATTTTGACAGTGACTCAGAATGTTTAATGTATCATAGTAACAATGTATCAGGAGTAGATAATAGGGAAGGAGTGTGACATCAATAAACAAGGGAAATTCGTCATTTACTGGCCTTATAATACCTACGATTTACTACGCGTAACTCATACAACTTGAGCTCAAATCGTACACAGTACATTCGCCTAACATCGTGCGAAATCGTTTCCTCGTTTACACAAGCAATCCGGAGATACAGACTAAAACGTACGACACGATTATCCATTCTTTGACCATCAATCCAAGCCGATTGCCTGCCTATATTCAAACAAAAGGCAGCTACTAACGCGCTATATTGCTAACTCGGCGGGCAATGTGGCTCGCTGGGAGATTTGAGCCCGATCAGCTGCTGCTGATTGCGGTTGGTGTGCGTGCGTAGGGGCATGCCAGTATGTGCAGTGGGGGCTGCTGTATGCCGGTATGTAGCTGTGTACCGGGTCAAAGGTTATCTCGCCGAGTGTTGATGCCTAATCTCCCAGCGAGCCACATGCCTCGCCGAGTTAGCAATAGCACAGACTAACGGATATCTTCCGTGGCAATAGCGCATTAGTAGCTGCCTTTTGTTTGAATATAGGAGGGCAATCGGCTTGGATTGATGGCCAAAGAATGGATAATCGTGTCGTACGTTTTAGTCTGTATCTCCGGATTGCTTGTGTATACGAGGAAACGATTTCGCATGATGCTAGGCGAATGTACTGTGTACGATTTGAGCTCAAGTTGGATGAGTTACGCGTAGTAAATCGTAGGTATTTTAAGGCTAGTAAATGACGAATTTCCCTTGTTTATTGATGTGACACTCCTTCCCTATTATCTACACCTGAATGTATGAATTTGAATAATAGTCTTAAGTTCTAATGAAAGTGTTTTATGTATTCTTCAGGGAGTCCGCCATCTAAGGTTTATGGTAATTTGAGGACAGTAGCAAGTAGAGCAACAGAGAGTTTCTAAAGGGGATTCCATTGACAGGTGTAGACAGTAATAGATTTGCATACTTCTATCATATTCAAGGTATACATACAAGATCAATTATTTGGATATATGTATAATTTCAAGGTTATCATTGAGATGCACATTTCATGCATTAAATGACTATCACTGTAAAATAAACGAGCATTCTCTCATTTTGCTCAAACCTATTATCAAGATTGTTTGTTTCTTTAGTTCATATGTGAAATGATGGCAATAAATTTGAAATTTATATTACTTAATATGAATATTTATTAGAAAACTACTCAATGACTTCTGTCACAGTTGCTACAGTGGCATCAAGCTGCAACTAAAATAGGAGTTGCTTATTCAACGTTTACAAATTTGACCATCGTTATGGCATTTATCTATTGCAGTAATCCAGCTCACGTTTTTAACTGAGGGGCAATTGATGGGCCAGTCAATACTGCTTGCTCTGCACTGTGTATAGTGTCATATGAATGACTAGTGGAAAATACACTTGGCATAATTTTTCTGTGCATGGACAAATAGAGTAATTACTTTCAATGATTATAAAAGGTGGATTAGGTTACAGCAAAAAATATATCTTTGGCCTTATATATGGAAAACTGTTGGTTTTTGACTGCTGCAATAAATAAGCATTTTCTAGTAGTACATATAGTAAAAACTAATGCCTATATCTATAACAATACCATCAGGTTTGTATTAGCAGACCTCCAATAGCTATGGGTATTTTAATTGTTTAGAAATCTGGTTGAGTAATTTTACAGTAAAACTACATTGAACTTAATTGATTGTAAACATGTATATGATTAACTAATAATTGCAGTTTTCTAAGATACCACCTCTTTTAGTTACTAAACCAAGGATATAGAATACAGATCTATATTCTATATCTATGACTAAACATAATTCAACACGAGATTATATAAGAGCACATATACACGTCTACATCGAATTTGGCATTTGCAAGCATCGAATCCAAATGGAGCTAACTTGCGCAGATACGGCTGAGTTATGGCATGCACAGCGCCCTCTAGTAGTAGGTATATTGTGATCTGGCTGCTGGCACCTCCCTCCTCGGTTCGTAGGCGGGTGCCGAGTACTTTGTCTCATAGGCTGGCGCTGGCTCATACTTGGAGCTCTCATAGGTCGCCGAGTATTGCGGACCCTCATACTTGGTGGGAACCTCCTGGTTTGGGTAGGATCGGGAGTTGTCCTCGGATGACCGCACCTCGGGCCGGAGTACAGCACGCACATACTTGCCATCGATGTACCCGGCAGCAGGTGCTTTATCCCTTGACTCCCTGTAAGCAGACGCCCTGTGTCTACATGCGTCAGCCGATCAGTTGGTTTTGAAACATACAATCAGCGTTGAGTATTTTAAAGGTGATTCAGCGTTCCTGCGATTCACTGTGCCATGTGAGAACCATTTGCATAGATCAAGCAAATCCCATTGTTTACCAATCAAAATCACTAGTAATCAATGTATTATTGGTAGAAAACCACTGCATTGACGTGCACTTTGCCCTTAACTTTCAATGTTCTCCATTTAACAATTTTTTTCTCTACATTGCTCGACATTTCTATGTGAGGTATCTACCCGTGTGCTTACCTTGGTTCGTAAGTCAGTGCGTCATACGGTGATCGTTCTTCATAGCTAGCATCGTAGGCGGGTGGGGGAGGTGGGTATTGGCCGGGGGCAAGTCCCGGGATATGCTCTAACCCGAATGCAGGGGTTTCGTAGCCACCTCTGTCCTTTCTAGACTGGCGACCGTAAGCAGCTGCTGGTATGGGATCGTATGCAGGTCCTGGTTTGGCATTGCGGGCCGGGGCTGGCTCTTGCACGTAAGTGCGTGCTGGCTTCGGGACATAGTCGGGTGTAGGAGCTTGTTCAGGTTTGTAGGGCGTGGCCCTGTAGATGGGATACTTGGGAGCAGGGACAGCTGGTGGGCCATAAGCTGGGTCAGGCACAGCGTATGCAGCCACTGGCTTGTGCTGTGGTTCTGGGTAGAGCGGTTCCTTGAGGTATCCACCGAGAGGCCTAATCGACACACCGTGGTGCGGGTCATATCTTGTCTCTGTAGCATGCCGATATTAATTTTAAAAAGCTGCTATAAATTCCGTTGATGATATTTTATGTATTTTCTACCCTTCCTATCTCATTGTTTTCAAAATTATGTAAAATAATCATCTTGTCAATATTACAGTATATTTTGAACGCTACTATGCTAGACGTGTAAAAGAACTCGCATCTGATCTCACGTGCATAATAGAAGAAAATAATAAGGGCGAATAGAGAAGAACCTGATTGGCCTGAAGAAGAAGAATATGATAGACGTTCCCTATTTGGTGATACCACTTCATGCCATGTCCGATTAAAGAGGTGTTTAACATTTTTTAAACGACACAGAAGGGCCAAAACAGCGTAAGAACGGCTTAATGTGATGCGGTTGTATTATATTTCGGTCTGCCAAACACTCGTCTATCAATACTCCCCACTTAAGCATGATATAAGCCTGGGTGTAACAGAGTTGGAAGGTTAATTACCTGTGCCAGCGGGTTTGTAGGCTCGACCCTCACACCGGGGTCCAGCTAGACCGTAGGGGCAGGTGCAGACAAATCCTGTCTCCAGGTCATCCTTGTTACAGGTGCCTCCGTTTTCGCAGGGGTTTGGGTAGCAGACATCGAAGTGGGCTTCGCAGTGAATCCCTGACAGTGTGGAACCCATTACAGACCAGTGAGCATAATTTGTTAGTGTTGGCGTGTCCCGACCACGGATTCATTGCCGTCGTGTTTAGGCAGGAAATGGTTAGGAACTAGTTGAATGGAATCACGAGCACAGTCTGCTGTGATAGGGCGCGCAGATGATTGGTGGAAATTGGATCGAATTAGGTTAAGAGTTAGCGTACTAAACACTTTCTGGGACTAATTTTATCCAGGACATACTACAGTACCTTTAAATGCGTACTGTGACCCGGATAGCATGTTACTAACAAGTTCGTATACATTCCTTAATTTGTAGGGGGGCCTACTGGCGTAAACGGTGAGGGAGAAATATAGTATAAGGTTGGTATGACTGCATTGCTTTCGTCTCGGACGTACCCGTGAATGCATAGGGGCAGGTGCAGACATAGCGCTGCTCGGTAGTGTCTTTGTTGCAGGTGCCTCCGTTAGCGCACGGGTTGGGCGTGCACGGGTTAATCTCGATCTCGCAACGCGGACCGCTCCAACCGTATGGACACGTGCACTGGTAGTGGTTCTCGTTGTCGCCCCTAAGTCAGCGTCAGGGTCACAGTTAGAGTTACGCGTATTACAGGTTACGGGATTACGGAGGACACCGCATTTACTGAGCTACAGATCGTTAGTGTTAGGCCAAGGTGACCGTGAGCGAGAACGCCCATACACAAACTTTCTTTCAAGTAACAATCTATATAATCAATGTACTATTAACTCGTGAAACTATGCAATAATTAATTACATACATACCCCATACCATACCATACCATACCATACCATACCATGCCATGCCATGCCATGCCATGCCATACCATACCATACCATACCATACCATACCATACCATACCATACCATACCATACCATACCATACCATACCATACCATACTATACCATACCATACTATACCATATCATTCGTTATAACACATTTCTATACACTATTTGTATTTCAATACATGGCGGTTTCTGGCAGCTAGAATTATGGTCATAGTTAGAGGAAGAGTTAGCCAGATGTATTAACCTGTGTGTGTGCGTGCGTGCGTGCGTGCGGGCGTGCGTGCGTGCGTGTGTGTGATTGTGTGTGCGTGCGTGCGTAGGTGTCTACGTGTATGTGCGTGTGCGCGCGTATGCGTGTGCGCGCATATGCGTGTGCGCGCGTATGCGTGTGCGCGCGTATGCGTGTGCTCGCGTATGCATGCGTGTGCGGCGTGTGCGCGTGCGTGTATCGGGAGATTTACGATTATCTTTCTATTATTGTTTTTTCTCGCCTCTACTATTTTGTAGTTTTACTATTTTTATGTCCTCCATTCTCTCTCCACTCCCTTTTCACCCCTTCCCTCTATTTTTCCCAACCCCATCACTTTCCTTGTTTTTCACCACTCCTATTTCGCTCGCCCCTATTTATTCTTGATCTCCTCTCCTTCTCCTTACCTCCTCTCTCTCGCTCTCTCGCTCTCTCTTTATATTTGTTATGTCGCTCATACCTGTTGCACGTTCCACCGTGCAGGCATGGGTTATGAGTACACGGGTCGTTCCTGATCTCACACAGAGGACCGGTGAAGTCAAACAGACAAGTGCATTCGATGGCGTAGTCGTCAAAGTTGCACGAACCACCGTTCTTGCACGGGTTGGGAAAGCAAGGCTTCGCTGTAAGAAATCATACTACATTAACGCATACTGCTTACTCTAATATAATAGTGTGAAGGATCCGCTAAGATCTGTTTCCATGCATTAGAGAGATTTTAGGGTGGAACCTTGTATCACTCATGAAAAATCCCTCCTTGCCGATGTTTATCGTTAAATGCTTTCGTCGGAGATATTTGGTATGAAACGCCTATTATGAATATATGATGAAACATGAAATGCGAGCGAATATGCAAGTAGGTGCGTCGGTACACTTCTAAAGAACTTGTCAGGTTTTGTCTGTAGTCGGTCGTGCTTGTGAAACTGATACCGTGCCACAAAACGTATATAGGCTACATGAAGCTAGACGGCCAAATTAGCATACATTATAGTGTGTATAGAAATACGACACGAGATAAACGTCGACCCTGGACAGTGCCTGTTAAACGGCGTTTAAACGTAGAGATATCTGCATTCAAGCGAATTCGCTCCAGTCTTTACCGCGAGATGATGAGGTATAGCAAAAACTATTCGCACAATAATAAACGCACTCTGCCAGGCATAACAACGTGACAATCTTCAGGAGGCTGGTGTAGACACACGCACGAGGCGTGCTCGCTTCCGCTATACACAGATCTGTCATTATATTCCGGTTTTCATTTCCTCTCGGTCAAGGCTGGCGAACGCGTCGATGGAAAATTGCTTGTTTGATAATTGAAAGAATACAAACACTATCTGCGCTCCATCGTTGCAATACAGATGTATCCATCGCGAGTAAAAATGAAAGCAATTGTTGTTATTTTAGGCTAACCCTGCAAGGCTGATAGGTGACCCATCTTCGCTCAATGCCAAACTATACTCGAAGCGAAATGCGCTTACTTAACTGTGCCAGGCCGACACGCGATAACACGTCTTCGTTGGTCACCACGTGATTTACCGCAATTTCGGCAAACTAGAGAAGGCATAGCCATCGAACACGAAAATTGCAGGGTGCGTTGTGTAAAATGAGAGCTGTAGGTATATTCGACATCGCGCGAGACACGTTGCAATGCAATCACTTCGCTCTCCGTACATGCCCCCCCTTACTCAAACACGCGTATGTGTGTCAGCTGGGCGTTTATGGGATAATCCCGAGAGCCCAGTCTCGCTCCGACTGCGTGTCAAAGGCTGGCTGCTGGTCATTTGCGGATCTCCTTCCATCATTTCTGGTGCTGTTCGTGTACCCTGCACGCGTTACACGCAGGCTAAATATACGCACATATTCTTCTCGTCTTTTATATATTCACACGCAACCAGCACGCTGAAACCATTTGCAAACAAGATGGACTAACATGGCCTAATGTGCCGCGTTCTCTATCGTAATAGCGGGCTCTTGAATCTATAGGCATGAGCTGCGATTTGGGACTATTCGATCATTTTGCCCTCATTTAGGGTCAAGATTACAATTCAAAATACGAAGCTTAAATAAGGCGGTCAATAACTTATATGCGCACCCAATCTTTATAAAATCTGTGGTACGTACTGTCTGGATGTCTTTTGGCGCGACTCTGTGACACAAGCGAAGGCGCTTCATATGAGTGATGTAATTATGAAAGCGATGGAAAAAATGATGAATAACCTCCATTGATGCTATACCACCAGCACCAATAACTACGGTTGATTTTATTATTTTGCCATAGATGTACGTATGTATATCCCTCACAACCCTTCTTTAGCTATTGTTTACTAGTCTCCTTCACTATTTATGACCATCGCATTTCATTCCTCAGTCTCGTGTCTACTTTTTTCCATTCGCCAACACACAATCTACACTTTTGCTTGGCTATCTATGGCTGGCATTTCGCTTCTAGCTGCAAACGTATCGTAATGTACGGCCAAAATACCGTGAAACGCTTCTGCACAATATCTGTTAACATTACGTTACTTAGTAGAGCACGAAGGGTCGTTGTCGTAACAGGTACTACAGATATGTACCCGAGGTAGTTTTAGGTTGTTTAGTATTATGTTTATATTTTTATATAATTAGGAGGTAGTTTTAGGTTGTTTAGTATTATGTTTATATTTTTATATGAGGTCTGTTTAGGGTTAGGGTTAGAGTTAGGGTTAGGGTTAGTGTTAGGGTTAGGGTTAGGTCGACAAGTCTGGTACACTTTGTGTATACATATATGTACCTCGGGTACATATCTGTAGTACCTGTTACGACAACGACCCCTTGAGCCTTAGTAGACTGAAGTATGATTCGTGATTTGATTTAGTCTCCACAGGTCGTTGAGTGCAGTTAGGTTGTGATCGATAGGGTGGCCGGGGATGAGTGGGCGACGCACGGTGTGATTGGGACGGGTGGGTGGGCCATGGCTGGTTTCTGGGCGGACGAGGCGGAAGATGGCGTCCGTACCTTTCAATATAGTTCGCGATCTATGTCGGTCATATATCTTGTGTTATATCACTATCAATTGTTACACACCGACCAGGCTCCGGAACCAAAAATTGTTAAAGCCAAACAATTAATTACAGTAGTTGAACGCGTCGCGAGGCGCGAAGGCACCAGTCGCGGTAGACTGGGGCGAGAAAGTGAGTCAATAATCTGCGTCCAATAAGGTTTTCCGCTCGTTTCCCGCCCTGCAATTTCAAATGCCTTCGGCGCCGTTCGTTCTAAATTATGCGTGCAAAATCTCCGCAAAATTACTCCTGACGCGCCGTTTAAATGTCCCATTGTAGCGCAGTTACAATTGCGGAGCGCTGGAATTTCAGCCAAAATCACGCATGCAGTCACGAGCGGTCGATTATGCCAATCGGATCCGATGCGGTAATGAGTGCGCTCGGCCGCGATTAGCGATCGTCGCTGTTTGGTAACTTATTTGGAATACCTAGACTCGGCGATCAATCGGCAGATTTAGATCGAGTCCAATTGGAAAGTTGAAAATTACCTAGTGTCACGAACGCCGACTACGCAATGCCTGACTCTCAGCGAGCTGGTAGGGCGCTATTCCTGGTAATCCCTTCGATAATATGTGCTGCACACACACCTCACCTTCAAAGCTTCCCTTGTTATAGGCAAGCGGACGCCCGAGCGATTATAATGTTTGTAATGGGACATTACACAAATAACGGAAAACCTAATGAAGAAAATATGGAACGCGCTAGAAACACGCAGTAAATTGGCGACCATTGAGTGAGAGTTTGAATGTTTAGACCTCCGTGAAACAGAATAGAGAAGAACTGTAATGTTTTCTGCGCATCTACGCCTAACGCTAGTCTTTCCTACTTACGTTGTCTATACTTCGGAGCTGGGCCGTAACCCGGAGCCGGCAGGTAACCGCTCGGTGCGGGTGCGGGTGCGTACTCCTTCGGTGCCGGTACGTACTCGGGATCGTACGCAGGCAACTCGGGGCCGTAACTAGGGCCGTATTCTGCAGGTCCATACGACGGCCCCGGGCGGGGTACATGCGGTGCAGAGTCGTAGTAGTCAGGTCCGTAGCCGCCTCTGCTGTAGGAGCGGGGTGGCGCAGGCAGGGCACTGATCGCTCCCACTAACAGTAGCACGCTCACTGCTCGCAACATGGCTGCAAAATAATTATACGCAAATAAGTAATCATTCGCGAATACGCTATGTGTTGCTCCTATAAGTATTACAATTAGTACTAGAATATATAGATTTATAGCTGCGTATGTATGTAGCATGCTGTGTAGTGATATATATCATGGCTATACTTGCGTCTATATGAAGCGATGTAGTCGGGATTTGATGAGTATAGATTGTGCTATCCCTCTTTTACTGGAACGTCCGGTGGACTCTATCTGCGAATCTTTTTCCTAATTAACTATTTTGTCTCATACAACTGTTATGTCATGGTTAATAACCACCGGGTTGGAAAAGGAAAATCTGGTTTCATTGTTTCCTAATGCTGGTATACTAGCTGTGGAATCTAGGTCATATCAGCTTATTTATAATGTAATGTGATTTGCGATGAACAGAGTGGGCGTTGTTTAATTTTGACACATTGATCAGGTGTAAATAAGATTTCCTAATACGCGAATAGATCGAGCGATTGTGTGCACGCGTTTACTATAACGCCTTGAACTACATCGTTTAGCCGCTCTATATATGTAGGAAAACATGAAAGTTCCTTTATCGACGCATGCGCATAAAAACACGCACGTACATAAAAACACGCACGTAGGCCCTACGCACGCACACGAACACGCACACGCACACGGTCAACACTCACTCTCTCTCTCTCTCTCACTCTCTCACACACACACACACACACACACACACACACACACACACACACACACACACACACACACACACACACACACACACGCACGCACCCGCGCGCGGTTGTCTAATATTTGGATTTTATCAATAGCATTTATGTCAGCTGTTCAATGTTTAAGAAATAAAACTGCGATATTGGATAGTAAAGCTAAGAACTGCCAGCAGCATATTCATTTAATTGTGATAGCAAAGCTAATTCTCAGAACGCTTATGAAATATTTTCGTAAGAATCGATCGGGTTCGTCTTGCCAGTAAATAAATTATCAATATAGTTTTTTGTTGGCATTTCCTTCGATAAAACGAATGTCTAAGAATTGATTTTAGCGGATTTAGAATGATTGATGATTCCAATTTGAAAGTTTTGCTACAGGATTACCTAATATACTCACAAGAGTACGAATAATCCATATATTTCATTGATATGATTCCTATCAAGGTACAACAGGAATCTAAATAAACCATATAGGCCTATTACATTAACGAAAGAATACCTATATTCAGTAGTAAAGAAGGCAATTTCCTGTACATCGTCGAGCACCTTTCCCATGAAATTATGTTGTTAATTATTGTATATAATCTACTTAATTGTTCTTATAATGCTTATTAGTCCATTATTTTTCGCTATTTTTAGAAGACACACGCACTTATGCATACGCACACGCATGCAAGCATCCATGCATCCAATGCATCTTATTATTCGGAATAAATGATTAACTATGCGATATAAAATAAATAACAATTCTACAAACTATTGTGGATTCAACCACGCTTTGTTTACACGTTCGACTAATTTTGGATTCTTATGATATTAGACATCCTATGGTCGGAACGGCGACGACATGCTGCTAATACTAATACTCTATGGCATCTATCAGCGCTTACCTCACAGACTTCTGTTGTAGCAGACTAGATGTATATACAACCTCTCACACTCTCACAATTTCCGACACTCGAATATACCCAGTATCGCTCTCACTACTTTTATATGAGCCGATAATTTGGCCACGCTCTATTTGACGCGCTGTAAAAACTCTGCTACTTTCCCTGTTCGCGCGAGAGTCCTTGTAGAATTCGCGTGTCATACTAGAGACACCTGTATACCCACGTGCAGGGGTCACTGAAGATAAAAATCGCATTCGGTGCGAAGAATTGTAACGTGACAACAGTGTCTTTTGTACAATGTCAACTATACACATTATAGCTATGAGCTATTGCGTCACTGGTTATACATACGCAGCGTAATGGCATAGTTCGGCCCCACTATAGTCATAGCGGCATTTGTCTTTGTATTTGTAGGTACTACTGGTATTAATTACTTGTTAATTATGAGTCTGTGCGGGAAACAATGGCAGCGATAGAGCCTTTAAAACGTTAATAAGCTCTTAATTACCGTCGCTTGTATCAATGTTAATCAGGCTAATTAACGTTCGAACGTAGTCTCCGGCGCTGCCACAACGTGTAGCTACATGGCACACACAGGGTGGCAGTCAGTTTATGGAAACGAGACCGTAGAGATTACGCGTGTGGTATGAAATGCAATATAGATCTATTATTGGTTTTGTTTGTTCGTTCTTATTTTATAGCGACGGCCTTCAGGTAAATCCGAAAAGTAAAAATTTGCTTTATCTCCTCTTCACGTACGTATATTTAAGGCTATACAAACTCACCCATAAGCAATCGGCTTTGTTGGACGGAGACTGTTACAGATACCAACGCAACACAGTTTCCGAGGCCCTGCGCTCCTCGAGGAACAAGAGTGACAAATGATTATACGTATCAGCTCGTCACTACAATAAATTGTGTACGTACGTGCGTGCGCGTGTATTTCCGTGTCCGTGTGTGCGTGCGTGCACGCGTGCGTGCGTGCGTGAAATATACATTCATTTGTATCTAGGCCTTGCGTAAAAATACAAGGCGTTCATGAATTAGAAAGGTAATTTCCTAATTCATGTATTCCTGTAAATATATCTCATTTTGGTTTAATCCGAATATGCACTATTAGTTGTAGCTCTACGCATGCGATCGTATCGAAATATACAAGAACGATATATTACCATAATATGGTTATTAGACAGTGATAAGCTTACTGTTTGGCAGGCTAACGTTATAATGCAAACGAATAGTCTATACTATTCGGTAATTAATTTGAGCGCTATATTTACCTACCCCCATTCTCATGAGACGTTGATATTTCGTGGCAATACGCTTTCACAAATCGCGGCTATAAATACTCATATTGGTTTGCGAACCTTCTGAACATCTTCTCGAAATCGTGCCCTTGTTTAGTTAATAAAATATACGTTTTTAATTAATAATATGTAAGTTTTTTTAAACTACTACTATCGGGCAACTTGCAGTCGCGTGTAGGATAGAAATAAGATAAATCTCAATTAAAAAACATAGTATTTTATTATTAGTTTTTCACATAAAATTAATAGCGTTTAGACATATTCGAACGCAAACGGACTCTACGCCATGCTTATACGCGTCGTTTATTTTTCTATTAATGCAACGTTAAGAGGCAGATGCTGTCACCGATGAATAATAATCATGCACAGCAGCTACGCGGAAGACAGAACACCGGCCGCACCTTAGCCCGATGAATTATGTAATTGACCGGAAAGAGCATTTAGAACCGAAATAGAAATTCTCAATTCAGCGTCATCGCAGTCGTTTTATTAAATGCAGACCCAGTAAACGCCAGCGCGCTGGCAAGCTAAGCATAACGAGCACATTCACTCTCTCTGTTCGTCACCCTTTTTATACCACCCACTAACGCTGAGAGGGTCTATGTCCCCCGGGGTACTGCCGGAACGTACCCTGGGTACGGTCCGGTATACCGGAACGTACCCTGGTACTATCTAATATGCCGGACCGTACCTCGCCTACTCCACTAACAAGTCTAGGGAGTCGCCTACGCCTACTCCCTAACCCCAACCCTAACCCTAACCTTAATCCTAACCCTAACCATATCAAATAGTGACCAGGGTACGTTCGGGTATACCGGACCGTACTCAGGGTACGTTCCGGCAGTACCCTGGGGGACATAGACCCTATGAGCCCCACTAACAAATGCCGGTGCAATTACATAGAGAATCGCGCAACGGTTCGCGGCATTTAACTACATCAAGCTCATCGTTTACCGAGCTCTCTAGGATAGGGAATTCTTTCAGGCACGGTCCCGTACGCAGAACGACGATATTAGTATCATATAAAATAACTCACATCTCTATCTATACTTATCATGTATCATAAAAAAGTTCGCAGGTAGAAACGGCGTATAGCGCAATTACTGGTACTTATACGCTTACGTAATTGTGAACGCCGACTATCGTCTATTGATCGTCTGCTGCCAGCGTGGTCGCCGAGCGCCTCGTCAATGCCGAGTAAATATAGTAGCGTCCATCACACTCGGATGCTGCGTCAGTCATTTGCTCATAAACGTGGTTATTAAACCATAGAGCGAAGCATGGCCAAATTCAGAGATGCAGTAGAGGTAGGCACAGAGAATGAAATCAATATGACGGTACCACCGTAATAAATATTTGAGAGCGGTAATTGTTTCGGCGAACTTTCTTTTTCTTGCAGAAATTTTGCTCAATCGAATTCCAAATATTATGTAGTATTGGATTATTGGATTATGTAGTATTATAGGACATTTAGAGTCAATCATTCCACACTCAAATTAGTGTTTAGAACGAAAAACCGTATTCTCATTATATATATTACCAAGAGCAAATAATACATTATTATTAGCTCTTGATTTTACTTGTATCCAGTTCCTGGTATGCGATATATATATATATATATATGTATATAAATATATGCGCATGCGTGCGTACGTGTGCGTGTATAAGCGCGCGTGTGTGTGCGGTGATTTATGTCATTGAATTTATTTTATTCATAACTTGTAGTGTAAAGTATAAGGTAGGAGATTACATTGCTATCGGGAATTGATGCTTGTCTTACGTTAAAAACCTTGTGATAGATAATATTTATTATTTTTAATTAGTCTAGAGACTCTAGACAATGAGGCTATGAACACTTACACTTCATGGTCAATTTTAGACTGTGATCTCATCACAGATCATTTAGATGTGGTTGCATAGCACACGTTCTATTCACTGGATAAATGGATCACGCGGCAAATTAAATCGTATTTATATAAATTAAAATTTCTCATTAAATAGAAAATATTTGGTTAGAGTATCAAGTCTCGCCACAAGCATTGTTGTATGCATATCCTACCATAATACGGCTATCAGATCCGTGAGTTATTGATTCATTTGTCGATCATGGTTTATGAGCGTTTTTTTAAATGTTATCTTTAAAATGTGCTGAAAATTATGGAAAATTGCTCCACTTGAATATGTTAACGATGGCTTAATTATGCGTCATGTTCTAGGTAATTTCCTCTGCCCCACATACAGATATGTCATATAGGACGCGAGACAGATTCAATATAACATATGCGAAAGTAACCGGTACTGGCTTATATGTCTTTGCTGGATATCTAAAAGTGCTGGGTAACTTATACAATGCTGGTTTTGTGATGTACGAGTGTTGCATACTCTCTTTGTTTAGCAGCCAGATGTTAGTAAACGGCGCACAGACAACGAGTTAAATAATTTTATGATCAGTCACGTTATTGTTTGGTAAGCACAATGCTGGCATGTGTTGTTATTATGCTATGGGGTGTACGCCCTCAATTTCCGTCTCGATGTGTTGTCATAATGTTATAGATCACGTGTGTGTGCTGTACGTAAGAGGGGCACCACTATCGGTTCACATAGCGTTTCTGCTCACATGAATATTTTCGGTAAAAAATCGAGAGTCTATAGTACATATTAATCAAACCAGAGTTATGTTAAATGTTGTCATTAAATGTACTACACACACTGCAATTCGTTTTACCCTACCACCGTACGTGTTTAACCAAAAAAATATGTATATTAGGGCTAGTAAGAATCATGACATCTCCATTTAGTTGGATTAGGATTGCACTTAATTACTTGAAAAAGTTGAAACGCAATTATGATAACAGTCGCAATAGTAGTAGCAGCGGCTGCAAGGCCACCAACAACAAATACACAAAGGCCCCCAATTGACGTCGTTTCATTCAAAGTTGCTTTGTTATATAACGTCGTTGTAAAAAAACACCACTGATGCGTAGGCTAATTGTTACCTTTTACCTAAGAATGGATGCTTGCTTTATTTTTTTATAAAAATTTAATATGTTTGAAACTAGTTTATTATTAACTTTTTTTGATATACGAAAGCTATCTTTGTTGGAAACGCGATGGGATGGCAGAGCAAGTTAATAGGGGAATTAGTATATATATATATATATATATATATATATATATATATATATATATATATATATATACCAATACATGTGGGGGAACATGTTTATAGTATTTCGATTTTCACCCAGGAGGGTCCATTTTTCAACACTAGGGTAATCGTGATCAGAACAAGGTTAGTGTAACTCTGTCTAGCCCTTATAGTAAGTAGCAATTACTAATATATTGAGCCCTGTTGACCTTCACAACTAAATATCATAGGGGCATCAACTTTCTGATTACCTGTAGTCATTGGCTGACAAATGCCTCTTTCAGTATTTCACGTCCACCTTCAATGACTATTTTAGCGTGATTATATTCACGCCGGTAGTTCAGTTTAAATACATGCAGATTCGCCTAGATATGAATTCGCGTGGTAATATTTCACTGTGATCATGCAGTCCGCTATTACTTGTCGACGTTTCGTGTCATAATATTTGTTAACTCATCAGTAATGAGCTGCAATCATTGTTGTGAAATACCCTGCATGCCATGTTACTCTATGACAGTTTTGTTTTGTATCAAACGACTTTTGTTGCTCGTTGGTTGTAAAATAACTGTTGTTATTGCAGTATATCAATTAGTAATTTACACAATTAAATGTTGGATT